TTAACTTTGAAAATTTATTCTGACAGATATAAAATATATTTCATCTCATAAGGATTTTCCACTGAATCAAATTTTATATATTTAGTAATGTTTATCGATTAGTAAAGCAAGAACAAAACAATGAATGCTCTTGCCAGTTCAATTTTATATTCAGTCTCATTAGTAATAAAACTATGTTTGATGACATGTATAGTATCAAAGAATAGGGTGTGGGTGGGTATGAATGTTCATAACGGTCATGACAGAAAATGTTCATCATCACCCACACCCACTCGGTAATGGAACGGAACTCCAGGAATCGATGCGACTCGACTAAGTCTGATGCAATGAATGATCATGATCGAGTTTCCAGAATCGGATGAAACCGATTCGACTATGTTCAATATTGCAAAATAGAATGATTGCTCGGTTTTTGTTGAAAATGGAAAGTAAAACAGAAAGAAATTGATTAATTGTTCAATGGATAAGATGCGATGAGTGTTAACTAAAAGTATTTACCTGATCTTTCCTGACTGTGAATATTCCACATTTTCAACTAGTTGTCTTTGGCAAATTGCGGAATTCACAAGAAACTGTTGTTAATTTTTTAATAATATTCTTGTCTAATGAAAACGAATGACACTCATTGTTGATTTTCTCACAATAATTTCTCCAGATAAAACGTAAAGAGACAACAAAATTAATTCTAATTCTTCGTCTAAATAATGAATAAAAACGACTAAAATGATTTGAGTATCAACTCAGATTGATTGATTTCGAAAACAAAAAATGAACCTTTAGTTTTCAACTGATGAGTCTTCTTAATTTAAAAAAAACATTTTCTGTGCGAAAAAAAAGAGTGTGATGAAGAAAAGTGAGAACTGACAGACAACGTACGTGTTCATAATAGAAAAAGTGTTTTATGTAATAACAAGATATCAATTTTCCTTATCAATAACTGATTAACGTTGATGAATAAGTCAGGATTAGTCTGAAGGTGTTTTCTCATGACTCGTTTTAAATCACGTCTTTTTTTTATGAAATTATCTTTTGTTATGTACGAAGTGTCACGTTTCCCCAAAATCGAAGGATATAATAATGAACAAATGTTTGATGATGAATTTGCCAAAATACATATTTACGAAAGCGATCATTTGTTTATCCATGATTCAACAAATCAAAACAGAGTAGTGCGTGTTACCAACATAAAATATCTATCAATATAATAAAGTCACGACGATACTCGTGTCATCTAGTTAGTTTTCTCTCTACTGCTTGAAAGTATATAAACTGTTGGAAAATTAGACACAGTCATTTTTTTTGTTTTCTCAACATACAATGAAGCTGCCTCTTGCTCTTGTTTTATTTGGTATGTTGCCATTCAGTAATAGCCTTTTATGCGTCACCAATGAGACGTTGGATATGTCTATGAATGGTTTCACTATTCAATCATTTCAAGAACGGTTAAACAGACTCAAGATTGGGGAAAGTAAAGGTTTATGTCGCGTCGAACTGTTACTTGACTATGAAGCAGCAAATATAAAAGTAGCATCCATTCAGACATTTACGACCGATAAACTGGAGAAAGATACTGTTGCGTTATATACAATTATCCAGCGCATAAGCAGTGAGACAACTAAACTCCTTAATTTACTCGTATATACCTGCTCGACAAACGAATGCGACAAAGAGTTTTCGTCGACTCACATTCAATGGCTTGTTGACGTCCAATATACGTCCTTGCTTCAACTAGTTAGCCCAGCACTGTTGGGAGATATTTCTAACTCAGGCAAGTATATCCACAATCGATTTCAAAAACAACTTAAATTAGTACTGGTTTTAATATCCTTTTTCAGTATAAAATGTCGTCTAATTACAGGACAGATTATCAGTTAGTGCACGTAATAAGATATTAGGTGAGTCACTAAAGTGCTTAAACGACATCGGGAATTGAATTCATATCAGCAGTTTTTCAACACAATGTTCGAGCTGAAACTTCAATGCAAGTATGAAGAAACCAAAAGTAGAGAGACTTCGAACTTGGAGTAAAAACTTTTTGACTCGAAGAGAAGTCTGTGGTGTGTTTTCAGCAAGTGTGCGAGAAAATCAAGATGTTCGAGGAAATAGTTCAAAACAGGCGTTCTTATCCCTGTTAATGAGCCAAAATACGACAACGTCCTCAAGCTGCCACTACTGTGTACATATATCCAATATATACTCATCTCAAGGCGAACTGTGTCTGCGTGAATATGCCAACTAGTATGTCAGATTGTTGCTACTTTGATGAAAATTTAAGAGTTACACTTTAACGAGCTATTCCTTGACTGTAAGAAACAATATTTTGAGTATTATTTACACTAGCTTTTGGTGATGACTTCGATCCCAGTTTTGATCAATGCAAAATAGAGAATTCAGATCGCAGTCTGTTACTTTTGGACCTAACTATTGAATACAAAAAAGAATAGTCTGTTACCCTTCGAAAAGACGTTTGCGACCGAACTTACTGGAGATAGAAGTCACCTTGTCTTACAGAAGTATTTCGATATATGATGTCTGTTTATTTAGTCAACTGTTTTGCCGGTAAGTCAGCCGCAGAACCATGTGCGACCAATGTATGCATTATTTATCCTGTCGAGGAAAATAAATACCAGCAGGGATGCGGTATTGGAAATCTGACTGGACAAAATCGTCTTCAGATACTTACCTCTGTCGATCTGTCTGTTAATAAAGGGGAAAACCAAATCACACTGATATGTTCTCACAACGAGTGTAACGACGGGCCCGCTTTCCTTGCAATCCTTGCTGCACTCGGAAAAGTCTATGACTTGAATCCAATGCTAACTGCTTTGAATATGATGGAGAAGCCAGAAGAAACAATAACGACCAGTACGACTACAAAACAGCCAGCAACAACCAGTACCACTACAAGACAGCCAACAACGACCAGTACCACTACCACTACAAGACAACCAACAACGACCAATACCACTACAAGACAAC